ATTTTATTTAACATGTTGAAAGTCAATAATAACATGATGATGAGGAACAGGATAGTGAAAATGTAAACCTTGTTGATATAATTTGAATATATCCATGATGATAGAAGTTGTAAATTTTGCCAACACAAGCAAAAATAAACCAGTCAAAATAATGATCATCAACATATTGGAATCCAATTTGAAGTTGTCGTCAATTGAAAACATTATCTAGAAAGACAAAATCAAATTGAATTTTCTTTTGATAATGATGATTTAGTATATCGTCGATAAAATACTAAAAATAGTAAACTAATGACGACTAATAAAATGAAAAATAAAAACAAATCTTGAATGATGGAATGAGATTTGAAAAGAAAAACCGTAGGCCGTTGAATAATATTTGTGATGTTGAATTGAGGAATTTTCGATGCATTGGCATGTAGATGAAAATCTCGTAATGATATCAATGGATTCATATGAATTTGATTATGATTTTGAGTGAGATGATTTTTCACGTCAACAGATGAGAAGGGAGCACTGAGAATACGTTCATTTGTTCGCCTTTCTGGCTTCATTTTGATGAATAGAGTAAAATCTAAAATGAAAAGGCAAAAAAAAGAACTACAAATACAACTAAAATGAAATGAAAATGATTATTAGTGTTTTAAAAAATTGGCAAATGGTAAAGGTATACTTTGTCTACGTATGAAATGTTTTGCAATAGAAGCTTTACATGAACAATAAAAAAAAGCTAACAAACACATAATGATAGTCATACAAACAAGATAGAGAGGCCTACAAATAAACAAACAAACAAATATATGAAGATGAACAATTTTTTTTTAAATACCAATTATTTGTAAGATTTGTTAACCAATTGACTGGTGTTAATATAAGATCAGTACCACCTTGCATAACACGACCAGTTTGATTTTTAACCATGTTCAACCAACGATCTGATCCTTTTTGATTAAGATCACCATTATTACCACTGCTATTAATTGAGCTTCCACCTTTCGCTGATACTTCTGTTTTAGTCTCATCACTAAAGAAATTGATCCATGCTCGACGAAACCGATGTTGTTGTTGTTGTTGCTGATCGACAATTGAAATTGTTTGAATTATTGGTAAGAAGATGAGAATGAAAGTAAATAACATGATGAACTAAAACGAAATGATGAATTTTTGCTAGTGAGTATTCACCTTTTATAGTACTCATCGGAGAGTGATAGATAGAAATCTTTTTTTTTTACTAGTAGAATCGAATTTTTTATTGGTTGAAAATGGGATTTACTAAACTGAATTCTGATGATAATTGAAGCGATTAACATCTACAATGGCAATCATGTTTATCTATTTATCAAATAGTGGATTACCTTACAGTGTTGTTTTGTTTTTATGCGTAACAAAGAATTTGGATGGCGTGCTTGTATGTGACAATGATGGAAGTGACAAGATAGAGAGGTGTCATCAAATTAGAAAATAGGAAAGAGAGAGAGAGAAAGAGAAAGAGAATGTGTGAGAATGAATTGAAACAATTACCATCTGACGTCATTTAAAAAAAAAAAAGATGGCTGCAAATGATGATGATGAACCGTTCGAAGGTCAATTTTCGATTTACTACGATGAGGTAAATAGAATTGAATTTTTTTCGTTTTAAAATAATTTTTTTTGATTCTCGTTTATTTAGGAAGAAGCAAGAAAACGTGCCAAGAAAAATGATAGTTCGTATAATCAAATAAAAATAATAAATAGATTTTTGTTTTTCTATTTTAAAGTCAAGCACATGGTCTTTAATCGTGTATCATCAGTAGTGATCTATTATTCACATAGTCGTGTTAGTGAATATCCACTGCATCATGTTGGTTATTTGGGTCGTGATTTACTTTTCGTCGTGTCAACTGTTTGTGCCTTGCGTATGTGTATTGAATACATTTAGACTTGTTTTTTGTTCGTTTATATTTTAGTTGGAAATGGTCCTGATAAAGGTGATTTTATTGTTCGTGCAGCTGTATCAGACGTACGTCACAATCGAAATCATGACCAACTTGGTCAATTCTACGTTACCATTCGACAATAAGGACTAGAATCATTTTTTTGTTTGTTTTGGTTTATTGTACAATTTTTAAATGGTTAAATAAATAGAATTCCAGAAAATATCCATTGACTTCAACACATGTAAAACAATCAGATTATAATCGATTATAATCATACGATTTCCGATCAAGAATTTAAACATAAATTATCGAAAAAATCATCACTAAATCAATGCTGCCCGAGGACAACGATTATCATCAACAACTTTAGAAATCGATTCTAATCGATGTTCGCGTGCTGCATTGATTTACCGATGATTTTTCGGATAATTTATACTCAAATTTTTGATCAAAAATATACTGCCATGGATTGGAATCATAGAGAGAAAATAAAATAAAATTTATGTTAATCAAGATTTGATTTATTATTCAACAGAAGAAAAAAAAAGAAATAATATCAGTTTAAGCAGCAGGGCATTGATTTACATCAACTGTTGGAAGTTGTTGAATGATTTCATCTTCATCTTCATAATCTTCTTCATAGTCTTCTTCTTCTTCTTCTTCGTCGTCGTCGTCATAATCCGTATCATAATAATCATTGAAATCGAGACCTAATTCAATGTTTAATTCATCTTCATCGATGTCGACCACGTGTTGTATA